CAATAAAAAAATAAGGATTAAAATCAATAAAAAATCAAAATTTAAGAAAAAATAAAACATAAAGAATAAAAAATTTAGAACAAAATATATTCAACCAAAATATCAATAACCAAATTTGATATAATCAAAAAATAGTATAATATTTTTTTTAATGTTTCACAATTTCTAGAGAGTATATTAATCTAAAATAAAGCAAAAATATTTTTTTCTGAAACCAAACTAATTTTTTTAATAAAAAATATATTTTTTATTAATTTTTTAAATAATAAATAAACAAGGAAAAAATTATAAAATAAATTTTCGTTAAACAAATGGATTCTATAATCTTTTCTTCTTAAATGAGTTCGGATCACGTCGGCAAGTTGGTTTAACATTGCGATCTTTACAAACAAAAAAAAAAGGTAGATTTTCGGATATTTGAAATCTTTTGACATGAAATTCAATAATTCCTGGCCTTTTAAATTGAATTTTCTCGAAAAAACTTCAATGTCTACCTGTCAAATGCTCCCTTAATTTTTCTTTTTATCAAAATGATAATATCAATTGAATTTAATTGGCAAATACGGTAAAACATATAAAAGAACCGAATAAATTAAAATTTCCCCATCCTATGATTGCACTCTGCGAGTAACGGACCACTAGAATTTCTGCAATGCATGTCATGAACATGCCAAGGGAATTAATTAGCAAGAACGAAGATTGAGTTGGGGTCAATCAATCATGTAATATAAAATAAAATAAACAAGCAGTGTACGCATGAATTGTGGGAAAAAGTTGAAGTTTGGTTGGTGACTAATTGATGAATGATCGGTGATGTTAATTTAAAAACAAAGTGGCAAAAAGCAGGTTTAGATTCTCTACTGGTTATCTTTTAGCATTGATGACTCTGGAAAAATCACAGGTAGAAAAATTAGAAGCGCTTTTTATGAGCTTATAAAATTATACCAAGAGGATTTGATGGGTATTAAGAAACCCTTATTAAAAACATTATAAATCAGTATAATATTTGTTTAAATGATAAAAAAACACAAATATTTTCTAGATTTAAATGTTTTTTTAAGTCTTATTTAAATCTTGTATCATACTTATATTATTTTTTATCTAAAAAAATAAAATCTAGAAAAATAAGCCCCAACAAATATTTCATCTAAAAAAATAGCACTATATATATATAGAGATTTTCTTAGAAAACATCTTAAAAAATATCTAAAATATCTTATATAAATATCTCATAAATATTTAAGTTATAAGATATTTAAATATAAATATCTAAAATATTTATAAAGGCGTATTCATTGTATAAAATATTTGTATAATTTTTATATATATCATAAAGTATACCAACGGTATATGTCTAGCTCCTGTAATCTTTCGTATAAATTATTAAATTATCTATAGCTGTGCATGAATTCGACTGATGGTATCATATAGACCATGCAGATTTAATATTCTAAATGTAATGCTCCATACGAACTTTGCCAAAAGCTTATTTTAGAAAGTCTTTAGAAAAAAAACATATAAACAGCTTTTACTTTAACAAAAGCAGCCGTATGTGGATTAAGAAATAATAAAACGCTTCACAAAAAGACCAAAATGTTAGACAGGAGTGTTCTTCAAGGGAACGGTAATAAAATGCATGCAAATCAATGATATGGTGATTAAAATATTGGAAGTGAAGTTTAGTATAATACTGTGTCATTTTAGAAGATTAATCTCATCATCATTATCATCATCATAAAGATGAGAAATTAATTCAAACATTTATTACCTCATATGCAAATAGGGACTGAAGATGTAATCACTTTAGAGAATAATTGATTCCTTGAGGTGGTTGGAGAAAGAAAGCAAATACTGTTGGAAAAATTTGTTTAAATAATTTGGTTTATGGACATGTTGGAGACCATATTAAAAGTGGTGTCTACTTATTTTGCATTGAAATTTTGTTGGAATTTAATTTTTAATATAATCTTTTTAATATTAAATATTAATATGATTTAAATAAATTATAGGTAAAATAAAAATTAATTTTAAATAATTTAAGGTAGCATGTTTTGATGAAACTTAAAATCTTCTAAAAATCATACCCCTCCTTCAAAATTTTTTCCCTTCAGGCTTATTTTAATGGGAAGGTGAAGAATTGAATCTGAAGAGCATCCAAGTTTCTAAAAGGGAGGGGATGCAAGCAAGGTGAATGTTGGGTTTAAATCAACACACACGAGCGTGCCGACTCAATTCTGCAATATTTTGATAGAGTTTAACACTCTTTTTCATCTAAATTTTTAACATTGCTCTTCTGTTTTAAAACTTTGTTTCCTCTTTAAATCTCCTTCATATGTAAAGACTAGTTCAATCATTGTAAATGGATACACGAGTATTAATTTCGTGGCTTATTGGATCTATTTAGGAGTGCACAGATATAAGATAATGTTGATGAAATCCTGAAAAGACTTATCATAAAAAGTTTTCTAGTATAGAGTGGAAAGTAATGAAATCACAGGGATAAAATTCTAATTATTGACAACAACAAAATTTAATTAATTTTAAAGTACTTTAATAGGTAAATAATTTTTTAGTTTTGTTTAATTTTATATTTCAGTATGCATGCTATGATTGTTATTCAATTATTTATGCAAGTTTATATATTTATTTCGTAACCATGTTACTTGTTTTGTTATGATTTTAAGTTAACATATTCTTACTATATTACATATTTATAAACTAGACACGTTTTTCTCACTTGTCTATTTTTATATGTGAATCTTAGATTACAAATAGAGAAAATGACCTAGTTTTCTTTTTAAAAAATAAAACGTAGCGTGGTAAAAATTAAAAATTAAAAAAATCAAAATATAAAAAAAATTATTTAAAAAAATAATATGAAAATAAAAAAAATATTTTTTTCAAAATAATATTTTTAAAATATAAAAATAAACATAATACTTTTAAAATATGAAAATAAACAAGCTGAGGTTAGATAGTTCATCTGCATTGAAATCTGCTTTTTTGGACCACTACTAAGAAAACCCAGAAAAAAAAGAAAAGAAACTCAGGCTTTATAGTTTATACACGCGCAAAAAAAGGCAGTCTTTACTTATATTTAGCTTTATCTGTGTGCTTATATGTATATAGAAGACAAATTTGGAGGTGCGTTTGGTGTGTTATTGATGATATTGGAGTGTGCAAGTGAATCACGGAGGCTTTCTATACTGCAAATTTTTGGATGTCATATTACTGGATTTTCCTTGCTACTCATAGAAAGGAGGTGAGTGATGTACTAATTAGACCATGAATGTTGAGATATTTGTTTATTGGCTGCTGAAAGCTGATATATCTTGATTTCTTGGTGTGTGCAGGCGCAGGATTGAAGAAAGTGAGGTTTTGCTTTCTTGGTTATTTCTGTCGAAACAGGTAAAAGGTTAGGTTTTTCAAGTGTAATTATTGAGTTGTTGTTAGTTATTCAAAAAAAAAAAAAGGCTAAAGAGAGGAAATTGAGCTGTTCTGTTTTGCGGGTAGATAAAAATATGAGCAGAAAGAGTGAAACTTTGAAAGATTTGAAGTTATGCAAGTGGGGGAAGATATTAGGAAACGAAGAATTGAGTTTTTGTATGGTATTCTGATTGAAAAGAGGGGAGAGTATTTTGGTTAGTTATATAACTAACGAAAATGGAGAGCCCCTTCTCGTCGAAAGAAATATGGATGGGTTATTGCGCTTGGCTAAGAGCTCAAATAGATAGTGTCCCACCTTTCGATGATTCTCTTAGGAATTCATTGTTGGAGGACCCATTCAACTTCTTTTCAGAGCTTAGGAGTTTTGATATGTATGCTGGATGGTGCGACAGCCCGTCAGCTATGGATCAAATGCTTGCCTTCGATGGGGTGCCATCTTTTCCATCAACATCCTATGTGCAGAAAGTTTTGCAGAACAAACTTCTGCTCCCTTACTGGATAAAATAAATGCTTCTGGGACTTCTTACAATGGTGGAGATAATGTGGTGCTCCAGCAAACGTATTCGTATTTTGGTTATCCCTCAGATTCCATTGATGCTGATGATCTGGGTGCAAAACACAGTAGCGGTGCTGGTCCACAAAACTGTGTCCAAACACCTCAGATTGTATTATTTCTCAGCCAACTGGGCCATCATCACTTGCTGAGAGGATGCTAGGGGCATTATCCTTGTTCAAGGATTCATCTGTAGGGGTTATTTAAGTGCAGGTGTGGGCTCCCATAAGGAGTGGGGATCAATACGTATTGAGCACCTCAGAGCAACCATTCTTGGTTTGACCAAATGCTAGCATGGTTTACCACTAGACCTTCCTGGTCGTGTGTTTATCTCTAAGATTCCAGAATGGACTTCAAGTGTAATTTATTATAGCAAGCCTGAGTACTTTCGGGCAAAGCATGCATCTGATCATGAAGTACGGGGTTCTTTTGCATTGATCTTTGATCCAGATGAGATGTCCTGCTGTGCTGTTCTGGAACTTGTCTCTGTGAAGGAGAAACCAGATTTTAATTCAGAGATGAAAATGTTTGCCATGCACTCGAGTTTAGCTTCACTTTACTGTATGCTATATTGCAGAAGCTTTTGTTCTCTTGTATCTTTAGATGACAAATTATGTGACTTGACTAGCAACCTGTTTTCACTTAAAAGCCTAATAAAAGGAAACAAAGGGCATAAATTATTTGTCCTGGAGAGAGAACAAAATGTTGTTCATAAATAAGTTTCTCCCTTTAAGATCCTCTTGTTCCAGCTTATGCAATATATTTGGATTGGAGTCCAGCCTTACTCACTCTTGGTATGTTATTGATAAATAAGTTCCTTTCCCTTGCCACTATATTCTGCATCGTTTAAGAATGACAACCAAAATTGTTGCGTATACTATGTTGTCCTCAATGCAATGGATTGACAAGGGTAAGGTCGAGCAACTGATTTGCATTTACGTAGTCCTTGGATCATCCTTGAGATTTTCAGATTACATAGACAGGTCCATAGCAGCTTGCATTTATATAATATTTACATGGTATTTATGAAATGATGAAACAACTCATAGTTTTTATTTCAGCCAGAAATCTCCACAGGAATGTGCAGGAGGGGGCAAGGCAACCAGATGACTGTTTCCCATATTGCCATTTTATGTCTGTACCAATTATACTATATTGTTTACAATAATGACCATTCACAGCTGATTTGATGAGCATTGAGTTCCTTTCTCATGCAGCCCACATTCTCTGGTAAGCTTCCTTGAAGTTGAATTCCTATATGTTGTCTGAATACTTTCTTTCCTATCGATGATTTACGTCTTTCATATTCTCATTTCTTGCCAAAAATTCTCAATGATTTCCAAACCTCTGCTCATAATATGCCTCCGCCTTAGAAGCCAAATCATTCCTGCATGAGTTGACATCACTCGCTAGCAATCTTAGTACCACTTCCAACCTCTCGTTTTCACTGTCGAACTGCATGTTGGCTAGATAATTAGAAAGACTGTCATACCTTTATTCATCAGTAAGGGCACATTAATGTTAAAATCTTACCACAAAATCAGGATTTGTCACTTCTTCTGGTGCTAGCATAAACTTGATAACATACACCACAGTCATGTCTGCACAGAAAGAAATCTTGTCAACTGATGTGGCTTCCAGTATTTTAAAGGTACTCAACATCCTAACTACTCAATATATTGTGGATCATAAATATATATATATATATATATGTACCCATTTTGTTGCTGTGGGACATTCGATGGTCTTTCCACTCTGAAATCTGTGAAGGACGAAACCTTTTGGTAGTACTGATCTATATCATCTTGGAAAAGGGTGTCCAGGCTAACCAACTGGTTGTGAAAATGTTTCGGCAGCAAAAAGTTCATAAAGCCCATTAGTACAGTGGTTAACTAAGTTAGCTCATAAAGTATGCAGCCATTTACCAAGTTATGCAGTCGCCCGTCAACCCAATCACTCTGACATGATGCAGCTAATGAATCCCATATCTCAACAACTTGCTTTTTCAATTGTAGTACGAATAGAAAGAAATGCCTTCTTTCGTTGTCAAACACAGGAACAAACGCCTGCAAATATAGTTTTCACAGCATAACTGAGCATGGGATGCATTAATTGGACTAAAGAAAACCAAACATCACCTTTTCACAGCACAAAAGATCTGACATGTAGATTTCCTTGATCCTGTCCTTTTTCGCGAAAGAAATACACTTAGATGGATCATCTGCAGTCGCCTGTACAACACGAGTATAAGGAAACTGTGGTTTTTCATGTAGTGGACTTGTAAAATTGAACAGAATAAGATGTCAATTGTACAAATATGATCTTGGAACCTACCGCAAAAACAATTGGCAGATACCAATTTACAGAATCTTCCATCTTCCTCCTAACTAAAGTCATGGCATCAGATATCGTAGAAAGGACGTTATCATCAAGCCAGGTCTCTGGTCTCAGAGAGTATAGTTCCCTCCGAGATAAATGATAATTCTTGCATTGGACAATAGTCTCACTAGCAGAAACAGGTACAGAATAGGTCAACTGGTGAATTTAAATGCATTGAGCTAAGCAAACAATAACTTGGGGGAAAAGAATCTGACCTCTCACCCAGTGAAGAATCAAAGACATATTGGATTAACTTTAAGTCCTCAGGACTGGTAGGTTTGCTCACTGTAAACGGACCAACCAAATATTTGGACATTTGCTTCCCAGGTGAGTCAAATCTCACATTTGAGGAGACCAGAGAAGAACCAGGCTTCCCTTCCTTGCTGCTGCAAATATGGATGACAAAAACAAATTGAGAAAAATGATAATCCCATAAAATGTGAACATTCAATTTCGGGCAATGAAAACTATAGTTACAACAGAACAATCACTTTCACATCTTGTAATCTCATAGGACATGTGCTAATACCTTGAAAGACAACCAGGTTAAACAAATTGATACTGTAATTGAAATTACAAGGTGGCACCATTAAGCTTAGGAAATGCAAATCAAATCTTAGCATGGTTGATCTTGTTAATAACCATCACAAGGAAGTGCGGGGCTTTTCTTTCTGCACTCTGCAGACCAAATTTCATGAAACAGATAATGGTAGAAAAAAACGGGAAAATGATTTCCAGAAACTTAGGAAACAAATCATTTTGAAAGTACTTGTCTCTCGACACTGACTTAATATACAATATACCAAAAAGGGATCAGCATTCTTATTATTGTTTACTTGTTTACCTAGATACAAACCATTATGATTGAAGCCGTATAATAGCAGAGTTAGCCTTGTCATATAGAGTTGCAAGGACATTGAGGGGTTGTATTTTTAATGAGATGCATATGATATTAAAGGGATGGTTGAGAAGAAAATGGTCAGTTCTAATTTTAGTGAGGCTGTAGACACTTAGCGTTAGGCCTAATAAGCCCTGAGTGCTAGGGCCAAACCTGCGAACAACATGGTGCAGCAGACCCCGGGTTGGAGACACTTAGCGCTGGAGCCAACCGCGTGCATGGCTACAAACCCGCATGCCTAGAGTTTGAAAACCTGTGTGCCTGGGTCTGGAGACCACGCGACTGGGGTCTGCAAAGCCCTCCAAGGTTCCAAGATAGCGGGGCTGGGTCAGCAGACCCACACGCCCTAGTTTGCCTTTGTCTACTAAATTACTTCTAGGACTACAACCGACACAAAGAGGAATAACAAATTTTTAAAAAATAGAAAACATGAATAAAAAATTTAAAAAACAACCACAGATTTTATTTGAAAGGTAAAAGTATAAATTATTATTTTTTATTATTATAATTAATAAATTTGAAATAAAATATTATTACTACCAAAGAAAAACCATCTATTTGATTTTAGGGATAACATTAATAATAATATTTGTGCTATAAATATTATTATTTTTATTTCAATTCAAAGTATTGATATAAAATATATTATATTTGTGGTATAAATATTATTATTTTAATTATAATTGAAAGTATTAATATTAAAAATAGTATTATTTGTGATATAAATATTATTATTTTATTATAATTCTCTCGGGTCTTACTTCATGACCCAATTTTGTTGAATCTTGTGTGGAGAAAAATTAGCCATAGGTCATGAATCAGGACCCACGTCTCATGGTCTGAATACCTAACCCAAAATGATTGGGTCTCGATATCAGACCCATTAAACTTAGATTTAGTGTCGGAATCCAATAAAATTAGATTCGAATGCAGGACTCAAGGCTAATGAATCTTGATGTATAACCCAACAAAATTGAGTCCCACCACTGGACCCAATACAAATGGGTCCAGACACAAGACCCATTAGATTTCGGTCCGATTTGAGGACTCAATTCTTTACTTTTGTATTAAAAAAAAAATAGAAGCACTAGCTTATTTCCATCTACTGAATCATGAAGCTTTTGTATTAATGTTTTTATTGTTTGGTGTGTACTATAATAGCATATATTACTATTCTATGTATCGGGTCTTCTAATTATTTTAAACCTTGCATCATCCAGTAAAAATGTTAAATATTATTTTAGAATTAACAAAATCTATTCCAAGCTTTGAAAATGTTGTTTTTTCACCTTTGTTTTTAATTATTTGGTTAGGGGTTTTTATCTCTTTTTTTTTAAAAAAATAAAGTGCTAGGACTTTGTTACCCTTAGAAAAAAAAACTTGAATTTGATTTCAAACATAAAATTATAAATTATAAAAACTTAGAAAAAAAATTAAATTTGAACTCATGTTATTTTAGACATAATAATCATCCAAGTCCAAAATATTATAACTTTGTAATTGGTCAAGTCCAAGGTATAAATATTGTTACACTACCATTTCACTAGAATGCATATGGTATTGAAGAAGTGATTAGGGATATAATGATTAGCTCTAGTTTCGGTAAGGTTACAGACACCTCATGCTTGGGCTGACAAGTCTTAGGCGGCCACGCACCACGTGAGGTTATAGGGCTCAATCTGCAAACACATGGCGCTAAAGTTGCCTTAGGCATTAGAATCGGACTCACACGGACTCACACACATGACTGTAAATCTAGGTGAGTGTGTTTAAAGACTTGCTCGGGATGCTTTAACATTGAGTCTTGTATCAGGACCCGCTACCCATGGATCCTACATCAAGACCCATTTTGCTTGGGTCCTACGTCCAGACCCATGTCTCTTGGATTCTGCATCGAGACCCAATCCTCTTGCATTCTTTATTAGAACTCAAGGTTCTTGGATTTTAGGTTTATTAATATAATTATTTTTTTTTATAATTCAAAGTATCCATCTAAATAATATAATTATTTGTATTATAACTCAAAATATTCATATAAAAAATATTATAATTTGTGTTCAAAATGTTATTATTTTTATTATATCTCAAAGTATCCATATCAAAAACATTATTATTTTTCTTATAAATATTATTATTTTTATTAAAATTCTAAATATTAACATAAAAAATATTATAATTTGTGTTCAAAATGTTATTATTTTTATTATATCTCAAAGTATCCATATCAAAAACATTATTATTTTTCTTATAAATATTATTATTTTTATTAAAATTCTAAATATTAACATAAAAAATATTATAATTTGTGTTATAAATATTCTTGTATTTCTTAATATAATTATTTGTGTTATAAATATAATTATTTTTCTTAAATTGATAATAGTTTAACCTTAAATTGTTGATTAAGAGCATCATCGGCAGTATTTTAGTTAAAATAAATATTGTGCTATGTATTAAGATTATTATTAGCTAGAATGTTTACCCTATAGTTTGATACTTTTATTTTAGATGGATCTTGGTTAAAATAAATATTGTGCTATGTATTAAAAGAAAATATAGCAAGTTTCATGATGATTTATATATGCTTGGACAAGTTCGAGTATATAATAAATCTGCTTTCTTTTCAATCGATAGTATTTGTTCTTGCATTTAAGATTATATATAGCTGTGTTTAATCTGAAAAAAACATTAAATCAATATATTAATAAAAAATAAAAATAAATTTTATTTTAATAAATATTCAAATAAAAAAATATTTTTAAAAAATATTCTCCAGGAACATGCTTTCCTTTAAAGTGATCTATACGATGTCCTTTTCACTCATGGCTTTCCACACATGTTGACATCCAAGGCCAAAACCACAACATCAATCCTGAGCCTATATATGTCTGGAAGCGAAAACAAATTGTGCCAAAAACAAAAGATGGCACAATTTCCTTTAAAGTTAAACATAGAGCCAATTATCCCAGACATTGTGGTGGTTCGGTTCGAACCACAATGTCTGGAAGCGAAAACAAATTGCGGTAAGGCTGATTTTGCGGGCCGAGTCCAGGCTCACCTGGACCCCAAAATTGTGCCAAAAAACAACGAGTACTTCCTAAAGAATCTTTAAGCAACGATAGGAGTAATGATCACCTGGACCCCAAAATCTTCCAAAAAACAACGAGTGCTTTTCTTATTTAAAAAAAGGCTTACAAGGTTTTTTTAATTGAGTAATGATCCATGTGACATGGATTTGGTTTATAGCTTGTATGGTTACTTTTTAAATGATTTTTTATATTAAAATATATATAAATAATTTTTTATTTTTAAAAATTATTTTTAACATCAGTATATCAAAATAATTTGAAATATTAAAAATATATTAATTTAAAATTAATAAAAAAAATAAATTTTTTTAAAAATAATTTTAAAATACAGAAATAAATAGCCCTTAGAATATTAAATGTATTTGGATTCCTGTACAAATTTTAAAGCTAAATCACCATCTTGTGTTTGTATCCATTGACAAAAAATATAAATTTAAAAGAAGTTAAATCTTGAATTGACTTCCAAAGATTCGAAGGAGGTTGATTTGTTGACTCTCATATTAGATTTTAAAACTAACTTATTTTCTGCTCTTTTAAATTTAGTAATATTTTATCCTTATTCTAATAGTTTAATAACTTGTTTATTTATGTAGCTATGGCTTATTTAAGTTGTTTGGTAAAGATAAAAACATGCTTTATTATTTATAGGTTTTATATTATTTTTGTGTCCGAAACATAGAGAAAAAAAAAAACAAAGAATTTCTACTTTTCATGTATTGTTTATGTAATTGCACTGTTCACTAAACATTGCAATTAATATGAATAGTGTAGCATGTTATACTATTCCAATCAGATCAATTCCGGCTGGACCGAGTCCGGTTTAAAGCTTAATATGTATTGAATCTGTTCTGACCCGGTAAAATAAAAAACAAAAATTATTTTTAATTTTTTAATTAAGTTTTATTTAAAAAAACCAGTGCTTAATATTATTTATACATGATGAAATTGTAAATAGTTTAATAAAACAATGAAAAATATTTTATATGAAGTATTATTTATTTGATGATATAATAACAATAGTTAAATCTTCAATATTTAAATTAAAAACCATCAATATTAATATATATTTTTTAAAAATTATTTTATAACCTCAATTTTAAAAGCATTATTAAGCAAACACATTAAACTATTTTTTGTTCAAACTCAATTCCAACCACAGTTTTAACCAAATATACATAAATACTAAATCAATCTCAACTAAAAACAATTTTTTTTAAATCACAGCCACAACAGCTATCACAACACCACTCAAAATTCTTTTCAATTTTTTTAAAAAAGCTTCTTCTAATTTTGATAATAATGAACGATGAAGCTGTTTCTGGCATACTTTATTGGTGTGTTTAATCTGATAAATTTTTAAAGTATTTTTTATTTAAAATAATATTTTTAACTAGAAAA